TGCCTTAGCTCAGTAAGAGAAAATAAAAACAAAAACATATTGCAACATACTAACCTCTTCCTTTCCCACGCTGCCCAGCAGCTCAACTTGTCTTCTAACACAATTACTGCAAACTCCTTTCTGTAATTCATGTGCCAGGCTTCTCTAGAGGCAAGGATCCAGGGCACCCCTACTCTCACATTTGCCCAAAGAAAACAGACATCTCTAAAGCCTAACACAGAGCACCCTGCCTCAGATCTATGCTCAGTATGTCAATGCCGCTGTGGAAGCAAAACCTTCTTGTTAATATGAGAAGACACGTGGCTTTCAGCAAACATTAAGGTGAAGGCAGCTCTTTTCCACACTGCTTATTGTGAGCTTGTCTAGATTAAAACTGTTAGCTGCTTTTAATCCTCCTGGCTCTGCCCAGATCCTCAGATAGATTTAAATCATTTGTCATTTAATCTGATCTTTCCTTTCCTGTCCGATGTTCACTGCTGAAGATAAAATCCTGCAAGTCTTTCTGACTCTCAGGAGATAAAATGGATATATTTTACAGGGAGCTTTTCTGGTCCTGGAAATTCTCCTTGCCATATTCAGTTAAGTGACAAGTTCATCCACATGAATGAACTGGTAGGACAACCAAAGAAAATCAAACAGTTTTTAAACAGAAAACCAGCTTTTCCTGCCCCTCAATGTTCAATCTACAAAAATTATTACAACAAATCTGTCAAATCCTGGTGCTAGATAATCTTTAATTACTTTAACTATTCACTGTACTCAGAATGCTAAATCATTCTAAACCTTAATGTTAGGAAGTAATTGAAATATAAAATTACACATGAGAATCTAATTGGCACTAGCCCCCAAAGAACAGAATTTCACAGCTCTTCACTCATACTTCATGTACTTAGTCCCAGCAAAGTGCAGCATGCCAAGCTAGACAGACCAGCAGAATGATGCTGTCTGACAAATCCTCACCTTCTCTGTCTGGCTCAGTAGGAAGTGATGAAAGTGTGGATCACTGTCCTTCACAGGCTGCAAGGAGAGAAAGTACAGGCTCAGAAACATTCACAGAGAGTCACTGAGCAACCACAACACAATTCCCTTGTTATCCCAAGCTGCATGAGAACAATAGTTTAAGGTGGAAAATACAAAAATGTATCAGCTGTATCAAGCAGCCTGTTTTAATTAAACAGTTTATACTGTGCTTCATTGTCAAAACCAAAGCCATTCAAGTCCAGTTCCTCATTTTTGGACATCTACAGGAAAACCAAAGGTTATGAGCAAGATTAACATGGGAGGAAGAGATCTCATATCCTGCTTCTTCCTCTTCCCAAGGAAATGAAAACACTTATTTTTTAGTTTCCAAGGAACTCCTTAAAACAGCATTTTGGGAATTGGCTGGAGATTACATCTAGCACTGTCACATGCTAGGCACATCCATATTAACAGTAACAAGGACTGTAGGCCCAAATATCTCACCTCTCTGATGAGCATCATATGCTGCAGCCCAGCATCACGCTGATTACTTATTTATGTACACACAAAAAAGAAAAGTTTCCAAAAGTTGCTTATGAGGGAAATCAAATGAAACCACCCCATATGACAGTATCCAGACAGGGAGAGACTATCCACATCATCTCCTCCAGTTTTGGGAATCCAGTCTCAGAAATACTTTTGAAATAAGAAATGTAAAAATGAGTGCAGCAAGTTAAGTGTGAATCTGCAAACTGTTCCTCAGAGACTGAAATCTCACTTCCCAGCATACTTCTTAATTGCCTAGGACATTGCCTAGCTTTGTTACACTACAGAATGACAGAACAAGAGCATCTTATTGTGTTCCTACAGGAGGAAGATAAGATCTTGCTATTTTACAGCCCAGACAAAAGGCTCTAGATTTGCTCGCAGTAACTCTGTTCCTAGATCAGTATGTTGTAAAGTTTCTCACCTCACTGACGCTTGGTGGCCATTTAAATCCAGCCACCGTTCCAGTCATCACTCTCTTCACTGTACTTGACTCTGGAATTGTGAGGTCCTGAGGAGACAGGAGGAGGATCAGAAAGAGCTTACAACCTGGTTCAGTGGCTGGTGACAGCACTTTCATCATACGAGCACAAATACAGAGTTCTGAAAAGCGCTACAAATGCTTTCCATTTCACACCTCTTTCTATGAAGAGTTTGCATTTAAACATACAGTGTATTATCAACACAGGTGAGGTGAAGAAAACGAACTGACAACGAAGGAATTCAACCACAGTTATGGCTTCTGGAGAATCCATTCTTCATATGTAAGAAGAATCATTGCACTTGTGTAATCATCCAGCATTTTTCTCCGGTGGATGTAAAAAGCTAAAATGGGTGAAGAACATCATCACAGTCACGAGGTCTGAACTCTTCTAATTCTCTGCTGTCATAAAAAAGTAGCCTACCTGCTAACAGGAGAACCTTCAAAGCCTGAGGCTGATAGCCACATCTGCTCAAGTTTGCAGAATCCAAGAGACAGAAACTGGTAAGGGGACTGCCCCATTCACTCAACAGGCCCCAATTTATAATGTCATGATAATACTTAACGCATGGCGGTTTTTTACTGTTAAGCAGATTAAAATTTATCTTTCTGGTTTTCCCAAGATAGATAGCTCTTTATTCTATAGGCCACAGGCATATGCTATAGACATAAAGGTCTTTATGCTATATGAAGAAAACGTGCAAGACTTCTGCATAGTATGTGTTATGTTCCAGAAATGAGGGTTCAAAAATGGAACCACATTATCTCCCCTCCAAAATTACTTCCTGAAAGTGCATAATATACCTTAGCATCCACGTAGAACCACAAGAGAAGAGCACAAAAAGTTTGCAAAAAAGGTAAGAGCAAGACTCCTGGAGATAATCCAGACTGATGCAACTCTTCCATCTGTTAGCAGGGACAATTTAGACATCAGTCTCCAAACGTAAAGTGGCGTTTCAGTCTATGGAGAGCCTTGCACACTAAAATTCTCTCCTTAGCGTCCATGCCACTGTTTCAACTGGTAAAGCATGGATGAAACCTACTCTTACACCTATGAAGTCATGTTAGCTCTTTGAAAATATTCACATAAGCTTAAAAATCAGAGTATTTTAATGTTCATGTATCCCTACAGACCATTTCTAGACAGAGCACACCTCAGCAACAACTGGATTCTCTAACTTTGTGCATCCTTATTACTTGGAAAGCCAGAATTTGTACTGGGACATGGCAAAAACCCCCAAATCCCAACACTGCAGTAATTCAGGACAGCAACATAAATGTTTTCTACCCTAGGGCTAAGAATCTGGGGAGATTATGGGAACCAGGCCAAGACAACGACCAGATTTTACAATTATTTCACAGGCTGAAAAATAGTATTAACGCAGTACTGTTAAATTTTCAGAGCAATTTCTTTAATTGTCAGTACCTTACTTTCCAGAAGCTATAAGGCTACTTTCCTACATTAGCCTGCTCATTTTCATGGTCTGTGGCCAGACATTCATCACATAGCTGGCCACCTCTTTGTGATAAGCTGTTTAAAACCACTCTGCCTCAAATTTGTCAGTAACATAATTTTTACTACCACAATTAACTCACTCAAAGCGCTCTGATGCCCTGAGGTAGCTAATACAGTAAAACCTAAGCATGCGATGTGTCAGCATGATCAGAATTCCCCCAGCTATTAGTTTTGATCAATTTTGGAATTAATCTAGCTCAAAGACACAAAAGCATTTTGCAAGTGGAAAAAAAGACCCGTGGCTTATTTTAACAGAAATATGTGAAGATACAACATGCTCATAGCAAGACACTTTGAAAGGTGAAAAGGATGTTGCTGATAAAGTGTCTTCCTGCATCAGTCAAGTCACAAGTTCATTAGCAAGAACTCACAAATACGCATTCACTCTTCCCCTCCTCCAACTCTCCTCAAAAGGAGGAGATGGGCTCTGTTGTGCAGCCTGATTTAACAGAAGCTGGCTCAAAAAAAAGCCAGTATTTCATAGCTAATACCTGAGATGATCAGCTTCAGTTTACTACATCAAGAAAGAGCTTGCTGTTCAAACAGTGAAGGACAATCCATTTGCAAATTTGGAGATCAAAGACTAACATCTTGACTTGCATCCTGAAGTGCACTGAAAGTAAAGATTGTGAAGCACAGCATAACGTGATCCCTTTGAAGTACAAGTGAGCAAGCAGGCTGCCGCATGGTGTATCAGCTGAAGTCTCCCAATGGTCTTCAAGTGTAGTCTCCGATGAAGTATGCGCATTGTAATAATCCACAGAAATAATTATCCATTTGGAAAAGGAAGATCTGGACCGTAACAGTGAGCTCCACAATAAATAAAAAGGCTGGAACTCTAGATGAGAGCAGACAAAGTATTGGTGGCTATCACTGCTTCCACAGCATCCAGAAATAACAGGGAAGTAACGGGAATAAAATAATAATGCTCCAAGGCTGGACCTTTATAATAGAGGATGGAAATATATCCTATAGCACAGAAGCTGAAATGAATACAATTAATTCTTCTGGTGTATTGCCCAGGCTACAAGAGTTTCTTCTTTAAGACCTAGCTTTTAAGAATACCCCAGCCTCTGTAAGTACTGAGGGTAAAGCAGAGTGACTACTAATCGCGTAACCACACAAAGTAGATGAGATGGGAGAAGGCAGGAATCTGATGAAGACCCACATCTCTTCACTAATCCTGCCCACACAAACTGAACTTGAAGGATGGCAAGATGAATGGTGGAGTCTCACAATACAGCTCTCAAAGCCCTCTCAAAGATATGAATAGAGCCACTCAAAATAACCGAATTGTAAAAACTACAGGAAGAATCAACAATACGCTTGCCAAAGGTAGTAGGCAGCCAAAGTGTCTAGAAGTAGTAACATGGAACAGCTTCAAACACCCCGATACTGAACTGACTCTTCCCGCTGGCCTGTTAGTCAAGGTGCCAGTCAACCCTCAAGTCCATCCGCAAAGTCCACAGGGCACTGGCGGACATGCACAACACAAACCTTCTCATCCTTGGGTGGACGCCCCCGCTTTCGGGGGCTCTGATCCTGGGCTCTTTTCAAAGGTGACTTTGATCCTCTCTCTGACGAAACAGAAGAGACTCTCTTTTTTCCTTCCCCTGTGCCCTTCTTCAGTTTCCCTTCAGACAAACTGGCTTTGCGTTTCTCCTCACCAGTGGATTGCTTGCCTCTTTCTTCACTGGAATTACGTCGATTTTTCTCTTCATTGGAGTTATGGGAAGACGCCTGAGAGATTACAGAATAGAAGATGGTAAGGAAAGAAGAGAAGAGCCGGAATGATTTTCATGCAAAACCAAGGATGTGAAGGACCCTGTGCTGATTACTATCAAGCAAAACAACAGCACAGCAACTTGAAAACTAGGTATGTTAGCCCTTTGAAGTCAGTGAGTGAAGTTCCTGGCTAGTTCTCCTGCAAAAACACATCAGTTTAGGTAAGCAAGTAACAGAACAGGCCACTTGAAGACTTGCTGGGAGTGCATGCACGTATATGCACTTCCAACATACTAAAGACAGGATTAGTAGATACGAAATTGTAACCCAAGACTCAAGACTGATTTATCAAATCATGATAAGCAGATCAATTAGCCCCTTCAGTTTCTCCATCAATTTATCACCGCTTTTATCCCCACCAAATAAGACTGAAGGGGGAAGAAGAAAGGATGGGGGGAAAAGGGGGAATGAAAATGAACTCCCCCTCAACTTGCCAAAGACAAAACTCCTTTCACATAAAAATGCATCCAACCATCACTCACGCCAAGACTTGTTTTGCTGCGCACAGTACAAGAGAACCCACTCACCTGGTCCTTGCCTTTGGTTTTTCTAAGAAACTCCTCTACAGCATCCACAGCTTGCTGGAAGCGCTTACCCTTGTTAATCTTTATCATTTCCTCTTTGTGAGGGTGATAAGGCTTCAGCTGCTCCACTTTGATCCAAGCACTAGAAACAAAATAAATTTAGTTATATTCTTCAAACAGCAACTTTCTCAACTACCCCACTTTTAAAAAACAACAGATACACTATTTTTCTCTAGAGTAACTGATGACAGCAGCCCAAACTCACTTGCTTTCTACAACCTGAAGGGGTGCGACTTCTGCATTCACCGAAAACTTTCTTTTGGCACTTTTACTTGCTTTCTCTCACATTTTATATCCTCTCATGCTAGCAGTGCTCCGCTCTAAGCATTATTCATATTCTCTGTCAGCAAGACAGCGTTTGGATGTGATCACAGGTACTTGTTTAGAACAAAGGCAATCTAGTGACTGCTCCTGTATCACCAGGAGCAACATCCACAGTCACATGCCTCCACATAAGGTAGTCAATAATACGAATCTGCTCCAGAGGCTGCTGAAAGCAGAGGCCACACAACAATCCTAAGCCATCAAATCCTTTTTCGAACATACTGTGTACACACGTGCCTACAAAAACTGCAGGAAAAAACCAAAATTATGTATCTCACAATAGAGCTGACCACAAATAAAGTGAGCCTCAATGCCACTGCTCATTGCTAAACATATTTCTGATGTACCTTGATATTCTACACAAAAACATTTTCATTTTTGAGGAAAAAGAATCATTTTCTTCACTGTTGATATTTTAAGATAAACTGGTACAGTAGCAGAGTATTAACCTGACTGCAGTCCTGTGAGGAGACACAAATTACTTCCCACTGCTAAAGAGGGCTTCTTGGCACTTACCAAATGGTTAAATGGTCAAGGACAGGGTGACAACTCCACTCTCCTTCAGGCTGACAAACTCTTCTATCACTCCTTCCCTATGGCTTAGGGGAGTGCCTTTGCTTTCAACATTCCTTGTGGCTCTTGCAGAGATTAGACTACCTTCCTCTATCCACAGATTCAAGCCCAGGCTTATCAGCCACACTGTTACAAAGCTATTTCCATTCAACTGAAAGCAGACCTGTGTAAGTTTTAAAAAAAATTTTTCCTAAACTAGGAAGGCCAACAGTGTATCTTAGCATACAGCAGCCCAGCACACAGTAAAAACCAAACTGATTTTCTCTGGTCCTAAAGCATCTCTGTTACAAACCCCGACTAGCCATGATTATAGGTTTTAAATATTCTCCAGTGCAGTTTAGCTCCTGCAAGTAGGTGAAATGTTTTAATAGCTGCCTTCTCAGACACTGTAAGACACTTCTCAGACATTAATACAGTTAAACGGAACATAAAAGTGAAAATAATAATAATAATAATAATAAT